TACATAATGTAATATGAAGTAATATTGTATACACATAGCCCAAATTCGGTGTCATGTGACTTCTTGTTCGCTGTGAACAAGCCATTTGTTTATTTGAGCATCATTTGGAAGATGGCACGCTTGATGAGAAAGAACACGTCAGAGCATGTCATTTATGTAACAACTTGAAGGTTAGCATAGAGGCTTATATGTATGTTTAGCAGTTTTTACAGTACCCCCATTCCTTTTACCCAAAAAAGCTTAGTTTGACTTCAAACCATTTGTGTCGGGCCCTGTGCAGGCAAAAAAGTTTTCTTTTTCACAAAAAATAGAAATCATGCAGCAACTAAAACCCTTAAAGACTCTAGTTCCGTCGTAAAAATTTTTGGCTGCTATCACTCAAAGAGCTCCATCCTAAATACTGCAGCCTGCCACGCGTCCATAACAAGTCTTGAAGTCTCCGCCCATAACAGCTGGCAGCACAATTTCGCTGTTTATCAATGTATCTCTAGATCTTCTGCACACTCGTGCTCGAAAGTATCTTTAGAGCTTGCAAATTTTTCTTCTCTTTTACCTTTCCTCATTGTCGATCAATTGATTATTCATTCAATTTTGATTTTGTGTGCGCCCTCGATTTTACAAAACTTATCTGGCTCCAGTTTGTTGTCATTAATGAGTTTAGTGCGCTACTTTGTTTATTTCAAATCATGCGGCACTAGATTGTTGCCCTTTAATCAAAACTCTTTCATCGAGCGATGTCTTTGTATAAGAAACTTCAGCAACAACAAAATGCTAGAATCAGATTATGCAGATTGCAGATAGTCATGATGCAAACTGTGCAAAATCAAAAGTTGAGAGAGCACACGAATTCGAAATGAATGAAGAAACATTTGATCAACGATGAGACAAGTTAAAAGAAAAGAAAGATTGCAAACTTCAAAGTAGTACTGTCGGAGAACACGAACGAGCGACAGATATAGAAATACATTGATAATCAGCGTGTGCTGCCACGATTTTCTAACTGCGACTGCAGCGCACGCGACAGGCTGCCGCGATCTGTGACGTAGTATGAAAAACTTTATTGGTCGGAGGTTCTATCAACTTTATGCAAAAGTTGAGCTAAAGGATGGGAGCAGGGGCCAGCACGAGTCGGTTTCTAGGGTTTTTAAAAACGGAATCCCCCTTAGTTTTTAAGGACACTGCGAAGTGTCCCTTGACCTTGGAAACCTATCGATCTGAAAAAGATGAAAACAAAAAAGGAGTCGGGCCCGCCTAAGCCTAGTCTGAATGGAAAAAAGTGAAATAAGAGCGGAAATTTGAAATGGAGCTGATTATTACGCGTGCACAAATGTCTTACATTCAATATCTATCAAAGCGATTATGAAGAAGCTAAAGCAAGGATAAACAAAACAAAGACAACGATATGAAAATATCTTAATGCTTAGGGGGAGATTCTTGCCATAAATCCGTCGTGACAGAAATCAAAACTCATGTGAGCTTACAAAAAATATATGCTCTATACGATTTTGGAATATATGGTGGCCGTCTGAAAACGGACTAAAATTGGAAAAGGTATCACCTCACATATCTTTTAAAAAATTTCACATAATTCTTCCAGAGATTTATACCAAATGTCCAAATTTCAGTGTTATATGCTTTTCTCTACTCCTTTTAGCAAGCAATTGTTAATTTCGGTGTTTTCAAATCGAGCGCGCCCTTCGCAAGACACGATGGAGCACGTCCATTGTGAACTCACTTTAAAGCTTGTGCTTGATTGAGTGCCCGCTTTAGGCACTACACGATCTGTGCCGGGCATATAAGTGATCATAATAATTAATAAAATTAAATAACCTTTGTGGAAACACCCCATTACATCTATCGTTTCATCAATTTTTTCAAACTCGAGGCGAGGGGCTGGGAGTGGGCAAAGGAAGGCATGTAAGCATGCTGATTACAAATACAATAACAGTTTTCAGCATTATTAATTCTTTTCTTTAGCTTCTCGATTTTTCTGCAAAAATAATTTACGGGCTAAACAAGGGGAGTAGGCGAGCTGCTAATCACCAATATAACCTTTCATAAAAAATATTATTTTCATTAACTTTATCTATTTTTGCAAACTCTCTGCTACAAACTGGGATTCCGTGGGGAGGGGGGAAGGAAGTGAAAATGGTGACCGCGAAAACGTAATGAGGCCAAGGGACTACCATAAAAAGGCGGCAGAAAAAGGGAATATTGTACAAGGTCAAGAAATGCGTCCTTATCTAGTGCATTGATATCAACGGCGGAGTTGGATACGCCAGTTAGTTTCAAATAAAAATTAAGCGATTTTTGAAAGCTAGCTTATTCTTTTTTAAAAAACCCATGAAAAGCATATCCAAAAGTAGGTGTGAGTTTCAAAAGGTTTGTATTTGGCGTTGGCAAAACCAATCGATTCATCAATCTTCAATCTCCCAGCCACCCAAAGTACTTTTCCAAATATCTGAGGGACAGTTCCATACTTATAGGCGAAAGGTTGAGTTAATCTACTGTCCACACTGTTATCACACCTTGCCGATTTTGGCATTGCATATATCAACATTAACAGAATTATATCTGTATACAATCAAAGAGTAAATGAGCTTATTTATATACAGGGCAATGTTATCCAAAGATTCAAGCCACACCGCGTCGCTTACCTTTATGCAATGTGCATACGGTGCACACGTATGCCGCTTGTCACGTTTTTCACGCATCTGGAGCGACCTAACGGAGAGGCATAAACTGCTTCCCCCTTATGGAAGCACACTGCGGCTCCCTCAATACGAAAACATCAACAACCATATAAGTCATGTATGTTAAATTGTCTTTAGAACTCTCGAATTTTTTTAAATTCGCTCTAACGGTTATCATTTTTATTGATGGGACAGCTACCTTGTTCTGATTCCGGAAACTTTGCGCAGGGCATAGATGCTGTCATCGCACTTCGTACTGTACTAGTTTTAGCACTTGAACACAAGTTTCGAGAGACTTGTGCATAAGTGGACGCAAATACATTATATTAGGTTGTCAAGAAAATAATGTCGGTTTTTATTTGCTTGCTTCAACAAAACAAACAGACTCAACACAACAAAGGGAAGGGGTATTGTTCGATAGAGCAAAGCAAGCTCTACAAGACGGCATTCATGATTTTGTGCCAAGCTCGATCCACGGAGAGTTCGAACTCAAAATCTAAAGATTTCCAAATGCCCAAAAAATCAAAAAAAATCAGATCTTCGTCCAAATAATTTCTATGGACCTCCCACTCGCTCACGTCAATACTTTCGATATCTATCCATATGTGCGATTGCTGTATTTTTTCCTTGAAAGGAAACTGAGAAAACGAAAATCGTCCTGATTTTCTCAAAGAAATGCTGAGCCGTTTTTGCATGTGTAGTTCTACACTACAAACCCAGGTAAACATAGCTGTAGGTTTTCAGCCTATTTCAAGCGGTACTTTTCGAGAAATATCGAGTTCTGATTTTTCTTCTTAGTTTCAGTGCTAAAATCGACATTTCTCGAAAAGTACCGCTCGAAATAGGCTGAAAATCTGCAGTTATGCTTGCCTAGGCTTGTGGTGTAGAACTACATATGCAACAACGGCTCAACATTGCTTTGAGAAAATCAGGGGACTTTTTGTTTTCTCAGTTTCTAGTCAGGGAAAAAATACAGCAATCGCACATATAGATATCAGATATCGAAAGTATTGACGTGAGCGAGTGGGAGGTCCATAGAAATTATTTGGACAAAGATCTGATTTTTTCGATTTTTTGGGGCATTTGGAAATCTTTAGATTTTGAGTTCGAACTCTCCGTTTATCGAGCTTAGCGCAAAATCTTGAGTGCCATCTTGTAGAGCTTGCTTTGCTCTATCGAACAATACACCTTATCCGTAGGGTTGAGTCTGGTTGCTTTGTCAAAGCAAGCAAATAAACACCGACATTATTTTCTTGACAACCTAATAATACCTTAAAGGCAGTGGTTCGGCAAATTTTAACCTAGTCAAATTTTGGCTTACTTGGGGTTATTCAATACGCTGATCCCGAAAATCTACTTTAGAGAGCTTGAAAACGGCGAGAACGAGCGTTTTCAGTGCCCTTTCCTTCGAAAATGGGCGAGTGGAGCAAGGCTGATGACGCTGAATCGTTGCAGGACCCAATGTTTATAGCACTGCGGCGGGCAGCCTCCAATGGTGGGGAAGAATTTGCCAACTCGTCCGGGCGCGTGTAAGATCGGCCTGCGCGTGTAAGTTTGAGAGCAATTTTCTCGGCAGGGAAGGCATGCTGTGCAACCGGGATTGCACTGTTTTCATACTTGGACGATAAGGAACCTACTGCGTTAAAATCCTGGGTTGTCAAGTGTTGCCGATCCACTGTCTTTAACAGTAAATGGCTAACAATAACAAACATCTTAATGTTACTGCATTATTCTTACATTTCTAATAATTGTGAATTTAAGAACGTATTTTTCATTAACTGCTCAGACAAAAAAGGGAACTTCCCGAAGGCTTCAGCGGAATCTCCCAAGGATCACCTGCGGAAGTACCGCTATCGTTTTCGGGAAGTTCCCTCTAGGCTTTCGGGAAATTCCGATGTTTTGGCTTTAGCAGGACTTTTTTACTCGCCTAGTAGCATCGTAAGAATATTTCCTGCTCATTTCTTTGGATGCTTCCATCGTACACATTGTTACACAGACGAGATTTGACAATTATTTATTTATCTATTTTTCGTGGCAATACATTCGCGTAGAAACATTGCGATGATAATAGAAAAGAAACTGCCAAAAATGTGCTACAGAGATCAGATCAGTGAGAATTCGTGAAAGCAACGACTGAACGTTGATAGTGACCTTGATACAAGAGGCATAACGGAAGAAAACCAGAAGAACAAAAAGGAAAAAACAAATATAGGAGGTGGCTGATGTAATATCCGTATTAGAAATGAGGGAATGGTAGCAGTATTGTTGATGGGCAGGAAACTCGCCGACGGACTGGCTATACGTCCCTCATGTGCAGCACCATTCTTCTCTATTCCTTCGACATTCGCGCTTTATCTTCTCTTCCAAATCCCTTCTGCACGGAGTTGGACTTCTAAAAGAAAAAATAAATTTATGGTTCAAAAATCTAAGTCTATACCTTTGCAGAAATCAGTTTTCCTTAATGAAGACGATAGTATCTTATGTCTTCGCTGCAAATTTCAGATTTAGTGGAGAAAACAGTCAAAACCGTAGAAAAGCTTACAGCGCTTTGGAGATGCAGATTCCAATTTGACAACTCCAGTATGACTTCTTCTCAAGAAGGCTGTTGAATTTTTTGTCACGCTCGTCGTCACTTTCGCCTAACGATAGCCAAAAACTGAAATGCTATTCATCAGAGAAATTGAGAACCCCAACGAAAGAAGAACCCCTCACTGAGAACCCCAACGCACCTATCGCGAGAATTTCTCAAAGCATCGAGCCTGTATCCTTGCAAATCGTAGTGCCCTAGATCCAGTGCATCCAGCGCAAAGTCTGAAAAATTAGTTTCCATATGGAATCATACATAACCACTTGTACCTATAAGTGTTATAGTGAGGGATTCCGGCAGGTCGATCAAATATTGTTTGCGTGAGATGTTTGAAGTCCGATGCGCATAATTCCATATGTCGGATGGATTCGGCGCGCAAATCTTCAAGAAGCTTTTGCTGACAACAAGCGCATTTTCTAGTTTAAGAAAGCCATTTTCTACTTCAGTCTCTACCTCAGTCTTCAAGCTTTTATTCTGAAAATTGCTCACTGATTTCATCCAAAAAATAATTGCAAAAAAATTTTGGAACGAACTCATATAACACTCCTTACGATATGGACGAGAGTACGACATTTTAGAATTAGGTCTTGTTTGTTTCTGGTAATTGAGAAGCTCTCTTATTTTTATTGCAATCTCTTAGAACCTCATCTTGCTGTACCGGGCGAAAGTTCCTTGCATTAATTTCTTGCGACTTTTGAGAAAACAGCAGCGACAGGTATATGAACAGAATTTATAGGCTCAAAATTCATCTTGCTTTTTTTTCCTCTTTGCTTTATGCGATTGCACAGAATAAAGAAGACATACTTTTGTGACGAGCAAGAGAGAATTTTAGATTTTCAGCATTGGTTGAAAAGAACGGTTGTTCTTCCAACGATAACAATTCAAAAAAGGGCTGAAAACGGCCAGAACTTTGGTAACAACTTAGCATATTCTAATGGCATGTCAAGAGCATGTCATCGGTTATGTATTTATATCATCACACCTGTTTGAATACTGTGCGCATGAACTCCGTGATGACAAGGACTGTTTTGTGTTTCACTCTGTTTGTCGGGGCGTATGCCCTTAGAATATTGTTGAGGACTGCTTCCTATGATGAGCGTATATTGTGGTCCAGTTAACTCTTGGTTCTAGATACCTTAAATGGAGAGCCGTATTTGATCACGTGATGTCCTTTCAGATTTTCGTAGCCAAAAATTGTTCCCGATGTTTCATTGCTCGCTGCGCCATTGCGCTTGCACATCTGCTTGAGGGCGTTTACTTGCCCCTCAAGCTCTCTCATCTTTGCCAAGAGCAAATTCTCCTGAAAAGTGCCGCACAAGTAATTGGTCAGAAAAAAGATGTAAGATTAGAAAGGTGTTTGTTCTCCAAGTTATTCGTTTGGGTTATGTCACAATAATTTAGATCATCTTATTTACAAATTGCACTCGCCTGGAATCGGGTGCTAAGCGCGTTCTCTACTACCAGTCCTTAGTTTCGATAAGGTCATACAGTGTCCCAAGACGGGACCTTCCGGCACTTTGCGCCAATTTGTAGATGTCTTCCAGATCAAAGCTTTGAATTTGCCGCGTACAGTGGTGCAGCGTTTCCCAAAGGATACGTTTTCGTTGCCTACCGCGACAAGAAGAAGAAATACCTGTAGTGCAGTTTGTGGTAAAGAGGCTCCCCTGGCTAGCATCGCATAAAGAAAAGAGGTGAATTCAAAAGTTCCGATTTCGCGCGACAGACATGTGCGCACAGCCATTTGAAGAAAATACAAACGTTTATGCTTTGAAAGCGCAACTTCAAACCTAATGCATCCGATGGCAGAGTACGTGCATCCGATGGCAATGTACGCGTACAATGCAGTTGAAGCAAAGGAGCAGCTTCAGTTCTTTTTACTCCTACTAAATGGTGTAACGCTATAATGACATCTTTTCATAACATATAAATGAAGTTTGGATATAAACCTGGGGCATCTCTCCAACCATTCTGGTTCAAAGTAGTGCGCTCTAAAACAAATAATAAGTCAAGGTTTGCACTTGAATAATTGCTTTGTTGGTTAAAAATGAAATTTATGAAATGTAACTTGCAAAAAAAATTGTCCAGCAACTAACCTGATTACTGCCCTAGATGTTCCGGACGTTGCGGACGTGTGCAATCACACAATGACTTTGAAACTTAGCTTGGAACATTGGCACGCTAACTGCAAAAAAATATTTTGAATAATAAGATAGCGATTTCTCATGTATGTAGGCGAAAGCGTAGGTATCCTTCACTTCTAATTGCAACAGATTTCCCACTTTAGAGGCGCGGCATACGTCACGCCATTTCATCGCATCGCGATTCTCACAACCAGACAACTGCTACGAGTCCATATCAATCATCCTGCATTTCGGTGGTGATAGTTTTCCAACCGGACTAATCGCGAGTAACTATCACAAGTGAAATGCAAGATGATCGGCATGCAAAGAACTCATAATAGTTGTCTAGAAGCGATAAAATCGCGTGGTGTATGCCCGGCCCTTTGATTTAGGGTGGAGGACTATAAGTCGACGAATGCGGAACAATCCTGCGTAGACTTCTTGCAAAGACGCACATCCTTGCATGTTCGAGGGTGTGTTTTTGTTACAAATGACCGCGGGTGCCGCCTCTTTTCGGCTACATATAGTCCTCTACCCTACTTGCACTGCAGGTAAAACGCGGTAAAGTAGCCGCGCCACTGATGCCGGCATTTTGCGCGCGCAATTGACTGGCGTCATAGGCGTAGTTAGTCGTTCACGCGCAAATTATACCGCATTTCATTTGCTGTACAAGCTAAGTATATCGAGAATTTACTCGACTACAAACCGGAACTACTCAGAAGACCATTTCAGTTCGAACACTTCTCCGCAAAAGAATACTAGAACAATGGCAATGACACAAGCCGCTCGTGACAAACATGATTATACAGGATGCCCCAAAAAAGTCCCTACTGTTTCGTCCTTAGTAACTCTCCTACACCATTGTTTTTCACAGCTCGTAAGGTAACATTGAAGAATTGGCTTAAACTTGAATTTGTAGTATAGGGCGAGTCTTTTCTCTGCTGTAGAATTACGGTAGGAACTCGTCACATATGACGCGTTGTAAGATAGGCATTCTGAAAACAGATATCGGAAAATTCTGAGAAGTTCCTTACATGGTTTTCATGATGCTGATAACACTACACAATTTTTGCGTTTTCAGACCTTTTTGAATGGTGCAATCAAACTTTCGGGATTACCGAAAAGTAAATTGTCACGGTCTATCCGGCTTAACTCATGGAGGAGCACTAATCTGATGTACGAGTTCCGTATTTGTAATCACTGACTTGACTAACCTAGTGTAAGGATTTTCAAATTTGGTTCTCTTCCAGGAGTAAGATATGATTCATAATAAGCCAATAACCTCTTCAAAGTTACTATCGTAAACTTACAGTAACGGAAAGAGGTACATAATCCGCTCCAAATTGTAAATCTAATGTAAGTTGAAGCCAACCCTACAAAATCATACCTCAACAGAGGTGAGACAATGAAGTTATCAACAATCAAATAGCAGAAGAGTTATCAACAATCAGATAGCAGCGACTTCTGAGACATTCCATAAGTTGCAATTGTGGCTTACATGGGCCCTTACAAGACTCTTAGAGAGCGAAACAGCATGCTTCCGCGCAAAACTCACTTGCTCCGCCCTTACTCTCGCCTGCTCAAAGTCTGGCCAATCGCAGCCGACACGCTGACCAATAGTAGTCGCGTCGCTATGAAAGGCAGTTTAGGCTACCGTACTGCTGACCCACATTATCTTATGAACTGCAGTCTCATAAGAAGATGGATGCCCGTATAAGCGAAGCAAACTATGTTTACAAAATTACAAAATTTCTTTTCGACGAACTTACCCAAAGATCTAACATACTGGGCCACTTTTGATCTAGGCAAGGCTGTCTTGCTTTGTTGCCATTATAACTAACCTAGAATCTTGTCAGATGAGCAGGAAGCGGCCTTATCTGTATCGGGCTTATCTTTAGACGAATTTATCTGCGTGGAGGCCCTATATGTCAGATTCTAGGGTAACGACGGATCAAAAAAAAAACCTCTAATGTAATTTGAATATAGAGACACTCAAGAATTTTAAGGGAGTTATTAGCATTCAGAAATTTCTACGCCTAGATCTGTCAGACGGCCGATGGTTCATAAACGCAAGAGAAGTGCAAGGCAGACGACCGAGGTGCAAAAATGAAAGTGGAGTGGCACGCCTACACAATCGATATCGACGAAATCGATAGGTCATGACGCCCACGGTAGACCAAAACTGCGCTATTTTTGACAAATTCTTTGTTTTATTAATGCTTAAATGGTGTAATTTTTAAGTGGTGAGGTTAAAAAGTCCCTTCACTCAGTTCTTTGACAAAAGTTATTCCGAAGTCTTCCTTGCTTCCTACTTCACTTATTTCCAACCTTTCCAGCTCCAAAGTCTAGGGGAAGTTCGCTCATATCTAAGTGCTCGGGAAGTACTGCTTAAGGGAACTTCCTGAGGAATTCCTCGGGAAGTTCCCAACTTTATTGCTGTTGACGTCATTGTTCTCGGGAGGTTCCCATTTTTTCGCCTTCTTTCAGCTCAGTACTAAATCAAGCCCTCGGGAAGTTTCGCAATTTAGCTTGTCCTCGGGAAGTTCCCGTGATTTGGAGGCAACATATTGCCTCCGAATGATCATGCAGTCAATGCTGCGATGAGTGTAGCTGAGACTGTTTTATCACTGCAAGTATTATAATTATTTGAGCTTCTTTAATTTATTAGGGCTTTGAAGGAAAGAATTGGGTTTCATTCATTATTTCTTATGGGTGTCGACTCCAGAATAAAAGAAATTTGTTTGAGAAATGTTTTTTGATGTATTCACTGCGATAAAAAATCATGTAGTTCCAGTATACCTTGCTTAGTACGGTTAAAGCACGTATAAGCATACATATGCGTCAAGGTACATGTGTAGCTTAGAAAGCAGACTTGCTACAGTTTGCAGTGTTTTAAGCGACCATTACACGATTTGTTGCCCCTTTTTCAGCAGTAGAGTTATGATAGAGTAATTAGGCAGAACCTTTTTATTTTATTCCTTGCCGTTAATATCTTGCTCCTGTCTTTTTTCGGATCATCGCATTTGACATCAGTTTCGTGCATAGAAAATGCTTGGTATCACCTGCATCTCTCTTGAGACCAATTCATTCAGTCTACTACGAAAATGCTTTTGAAGCCTCAAGTAGTTGAAGCGGTTCCCTTAACACCTTCCTGCTCTCTTTCATCAACGCGAACATCATTACGAGAAACTTACGAGTGGTGAGGGCTAGCCGTGTATTGATCTATACATTTTCTCACACTGCACTGAGTTAAATCAGCCTTGTAATACCCGTCGCGCTCACCAATGGTGACTGCTAGTTGCGCATCAATCTATGTTACATGTTTTCACATGACAACCGAAACAGCTCCGAAAGACTCTTTGCACTTATGAAAGCAAAGTTTTCAAATGAGAGTTTCGCGGTTTCACGCAATCTGCATTTTGGATTTGAAATCAAGTCCATGAAAACTCACGAATGAAAACGAAAGTGGAGATCAAAATTCCGGGCGCCGTTTCAAAATTATAGCAGAAACCACATTGCCTGTCTTTGTACGAGACAGGTGACTGTAACCCTGGAATGTTGCGGTAGTCAAGTTTGTTTGCTCCAGCTTTGATATTTCTCAATTTTCCCTTTCATTGGTACCGTATCATGATGCAAAACAGCAAACATTGTCTTGAAAGGGGTGCATCTGCAACGGCGCTTCAGCCTCTTTCCCTGCAGTATCCTTAGGCAAACTCGAGGCTCTTCAGGTGACACCACTTCTTAGGATGTGTTTTGACATGCACGCATGGCCCATTTAAGTAGCATGATGAAAATATTGAGTTGGCATGAAAGTTCTTCGCATCGCTTTCAAAAATTCGTAACTTCTTGCTTTCTCAACCGATTTGCATGCTTTTAATCTGATCGGGAGGGTAAGTCATGCTCTTCATAAAAGAATCTTAGCGGCTTCCCAATGAGCATGCATCGTGCAGATAGAAGCGGTAGAATGAAACTACTCAGTTTTTGAATTTTTTGAGTTTTGTCGTAAAAAATCTGAAACTTGCGACAAAAATTGAAGCAGTCGGTATCATAGATTACCAAATCAGATTGCACTTCACCGCTCATCCTTCATGACTATGGGGAATGTGCACAGACATACAAATTTCTTTATATATTATAAAAACTTTAGATGCTATATATA